AGAGAAGCACATTCAGTGGCCGTCTGTTACAGCTGCGCTGTGTTAAAGAGCGCCGTGTGAGATCATTCTTACCCACTGATATACGGTTCTACAACGAGTCTCCTTACTGCAGAGACGGTACTGATCTCCTGCTATCTGAACTGTGCTGAACCACGTCACTGTATCTCCTCTCTGATTAATACACACTGTGCAATATATCATACCTACTACTGTAATGACATGTTCACTATGCACTTTACACTGTAATATTGATGCATCTCAGAGTTAGTTGTCTTTAATATGTGCTTTTAGTTTACCTCATACCACTCAGTGCCTGCTGTCTTGTAAATACAACAAATCTGTCTCATATGCCATGTGAATATGTAAATAGATATATTTTTATTTTTACTTATATTTTTATGTTTTTATTTTTACTTTTATTTTATTTCTCTTGTACTTTAACTTATGTCTAGATTTATTTCTATTTTCTATTTTTCTGCATAGTATATGTAAGTTTATGTGCAATTATATGTCTTGCTACTGAAACATTGCAATTTCCCTCCGGGATCAATAAAGTTCTATCTCTCTATCTAGCTAGCTAGCTCTGGAACCAAACACCTTGAGAGGGTAGGTCCCTCTCCTACTTAGAAGCTGCACAGGGTGAAAGGCACCAGGCAGGTGTAAGGATATTCACAAGCCTCTGGCTGGCTAGCGTGCAGATGAAGTTTGTCCCAGCTGAGCCATAAGGCAAAGCTCTCTGTTTACCGCTCGGTCTACATCCCCACCCTCACTGATGGTCGTGAGCTTTGGGTAATGACTGAAAGAGTGAGATTGTGGATATAAGTGGTGTAAATGAGCTTTCTTCACAGGGTAGTGGGCTACTCTCATGATATGGTGAGCAGCACAGTCATCCACGAGGAGCTCAAAGTAGCGCCGCTACTCCTCCACATTGTGAGAAGCCAGTTGAGGTGGTTTGGGCATCTGATTTAGCAAGCCTGACTGGGATGAGACCCCAAGGTCATCCTAGGACCCGCTGGAGGGATTATATAGTTGGCCTATGAGCGGCTTGGGGTCCCCCAGAATGAACTTGAGGAAGCTGCACGGGACAGGGTTGTCTGGGATTCTTTGCTTTTCCTACTGCTACGGCAGCTCTAGCTAGGTCAAGCGGTGTAGGAAGATGAATGAATGACAATGATTTTAAACTGTATGTGAACTGAAGATTTATTTTAAACATATATACAATTCAGTTTCCTGCAGCTCCACAAACAGTCCATAGAATTAATACTGTCACATTTTTTTATTAATGATGCTTTTATAGCATTTATTATTTGGTTATATTGGTATGGTTTTTAATTTCTTTTTAATTTCTACTTTGTTCTAAACTAAAACCCCAGAACAGAAACCCACCTATGACACTCTCAGAGATCCGTCTAGTGGTGATGACATCATCATAGTTATCTGCTATGTCATCTTTTTCTGCTTCACCTAAATCAAATAAAAGCAGACTGACTTTACAAACAGTGCAGTCATATTTTCACATTGTTGGTTTAATATAAAGTTAAAATCATGGGATTTAATTAACAAAGGAACCCACTTATCAGACCACTGGTGGTGACATCATCATAATATTCTGATTTCACTCCAGGCAGAGACTTTGCTGTAAAAAGAGCCTAACTTGTCACTTTTAATTACATTTAAAAATAAAATACTCATTCAGAGGGGTTTTAATGTAATAATAACAATTTTAGAATTCGGTCTTCAGTGTGTGACTCCATTCAGATTATGCAAGAAATAATTTCTGACAAACATCTCATCTAGAGATAAGGTCAAGAAGAGCACTGCTCCCAGAACCAGGAGAGACACTGGATAGATGGATGGAACAGCAGCAATTGGAAGAGCTTGTAGAAAAGTGTTTGTTGTCTTTGCTGGCTGATCAACTAAAAGTAAAAATACAGAACAGAAACTGTGCAGAGTCCTGAACAATCTATTCAGAAACATGTAGCAAAATCTGTCTTTATCTGTCTAAGAGACATAAAAAATACCTGTGGTGTTGGAGGTGGTGGCTGTTATAAGTGGAGTAGTAGAAATGCCTGTAAATACAGAAACAGCAGTTCTGATTCTGATATGTAGAACACTTTAAGCACTGAATATGGCAAATTAGCATTAGATAATATTAAAAAAAGTCCATTAATGCACCATTTAAAACTGAGATTTAAATGATCAGATTTTTAAAAAACCAGATTTTAAAACTGTGATAAAATATATTTAATTGGAGTCTGAAGTCCAGCAGGATCATCTGACCTGCACAGGTGACTCCAGCGTCCTGCCTGTGGGAGCAGTCAGTGTGGTCCTTCAGGGAATGAGGACAGTCCCACAGGTGAATCTCATTCCCTCTACACTTCACTCTGTTCAGCCAGATAGACCCTTCACCAGCACCAAAGACAGCACTCCTATAAGCACTCAGTGCCAGCCCACAGCCCAACTGCCTGCAGACCACCTGAGCATCCATGATGTCCCACAGACCATCACAGACGGATCCCCACTCAGCGTTACGATACACCTCCAGCCTCCCAGAGCAGATTCCATTTCCTCCTCTCAGCCTGAGAGGCAGGTGCTCTACATCACACATGAGGAGATACAGCAATGCTGATCAACCAGGATAGTTACAGAACTAATAACAATACAGCTATTAAGTGTAATTGAGGTTTTCACTTTTTGTACATTACCAGTAATAGTTCTATGAAGGTGCTACTTTTCTAACACTTGTGATAAACACATTACGTAATTAAATATTGACCTTATTTATCTGCAAGAGTTCTTACTTGAGCACTGTCTGTGATGGGGAGATGAGGAGCATTTCAGATGGCTTCGTAATACACGATCATTTTCATATTCTATGAATACAGAAAGATAACTCATTAAGCGTTGAACATCTAAAGTTTTCTATATTTCTATATATTACATTTTATTTTACATTTCTATATGTATATTTTATTTACCTATTTAATATGTTTTATACTTTGAGTGATTTATTGTCAGCACAAAAATGTATACACACTCTACTTATATGAACATAAAAACTGCCTACCTGAGCAGGTAATCCAGGCCACCTTGTTGTCTTTATCACAGTTGTTCTGTCTCCAGGGTGAAGATGGACATTGCCACAGAGTGGAGTAATGTTTCCTACATTTCAGATTATCTAGCCAGTTAGGAGCTGATTCCACTCTTGCTTTGGCCCAAGACTCACTGCCAGATCTTCCACAGTTCAGCTCTTGACAGATTAAACTCACTGTTTCTTCATCCATCCCATTTAAACACACATTACCCCAGGTTCCATTGTAGAACACTTCCAGATTCCCCTCACAGCCCTCAGTGAGTCTGATCTCTTTAAACTCTGGTGGGAAAAAAACTTGTACTAAACTTTGCTTTTAAATGAGCATGTTTTAGGAAGTTCATACAATTAAAAATGAAATATTCAACATCCCATCAAAAAGATAATGAAACTCCACTGCTTGTACAGACATTAACTTCCTTAAAGGTACGGTTCCATGCAAATTCGAATCTACACAGTTTTACCCCAAAGATAGTCAATCAGCCTAGATATATCTGATGTCTAAAGCTGGCTTTACACTGTGTGATTACAGTGGTCTTATACGTCTACTTCATGTCACACTGCATGAGATGCTTCAAATAATAGCTAATCTCCATGTCAGACTATGTTCAGTTATGCTGCACATCAAATTATACCTTAAAGATTTTCTGGTGATTTACAATGCAAGAAAATTATGACATTCTGCAAGCACTTTCGATTTTGGCAAAATGTAGAAAAACACAAGCAACAGTATCATCATGAGGATTATAGTACAGTGCCTTAAGTTTGCTTCCTAAGCTTTGCACTGGAGTTATGAGACTAATGTAGTCAGGCCCATGCATAGACAATTTGAGAGTCAATAGAAACAATAGTTCAAACTGAACATGAATTAAGTTTTATTTTTATTTTTTTTCAATTAAAAAAAACTTGCTTTAGTGCATTTGCGACTTCACTGCTGACATTATGTGTAGTTATTTTTAAAAATAAACCCGTTTATGGCTCAGTATAACAAAGTGTGGTTCTTTTGTAAAGAGATTCTTAGTGCAAACATGTCTGGGCTGACAGACTACATTTCTATTAAGAGGAAAACTGTGTTAATTTGATTTTTCAGTGAACCATTCCTTTAAAATCATCATACCTGAGCAGAGGAATCCTACATCCTCCTTGTGTCCACATTCATCCTCTCCACACAACTGATACCTGCAGTTCCACAGGGACGTTTCGTTCCCCTCACACTCCACGTCATTCAGCCATATGGGTCCAGTTCCTGGACCAAACTGGGCTGGTACTGGAGCACTGAGGGCCACTCCACACTGCAGCTGTCTACACACCACCTGCGCATCCTCAATATCCCATAAGTCACCACACACTGTCCCCCATGAGCCGCTGTGGAAAACCTCCAACCTTCCTGCACAGTCTCCCCCAGAACCAACCAGCCTGATGGAGCTGTGAGCTGATTTAAACTTACCTACACACACAAACACACACAAAAACACGCATTACAGCTGTGGCTCATTCCTTGGCCCTCTACATAAAGAAGAAAGTTAATCTTTTGACTGTGAAATGAACAATAAATACTGCAATATATTTTTGGGAAGATTATTTTAAGAATATTCTTTTGATATTTAGCTGCTGTCATTCTTACCAGAGCAGGTGATGGAGAGCTGTTCTCTGGAGCTGCAGTTGACTGCTTGTGTGCTGCTGCAGTTCCCCAGATGAGCTTCTCTCCCAGAACAATTGAAACCCATCACGCACATGTGTTTGTGTTCAGGACTGGATGGAGAGGAGCTGGAGAAGCTGAACACAGAGCCACAGCTCAGCTGTCTGCAGATGACAGAGGCCTCAGACTCACTACAGGAGTCCAGCAGAACTCTCCTCCAGTCCTTCCTGAAGTACACCTCCACCTCCCCCTCACACTCCATCCCTCCAGACAACCGCACTCGCCCCTCATTAAATGCTCATAAATGAGAGGAACCTGAATAGGAAAAAAATATCACTTAACTAAAAACCTTGTTTGACTGAGGGTACCTTACACAGACATTTCTGAGATAGACTACAAAATTCTCACCACTGCAGATGACTACAGCATCCTGTTTATGAGAGCATGCAGTTCGACTCCATGATGAAATGGGACATTTTGACAGGTGTGTTTCGTTCCCTTTACAATCAAACACATCAGCCCAGATCCGGCCGCTCCCCTCCCAAACCAGTCTGACCCCAACACAGCCACAGCACTCCCACACTTCAGCTGACCACAGAGGACACTGGCAGCTCTCATATCCCAGCTTACATCACACACTGTGCCCCACTCATTGAGGTACTGGAGCTCCACTCGACCAGAACAGGAGTCAGAGCCGTTCGCCAGCCGAGCCTGAGTGTGACCTGAATCAACATCACATTACAGGAATTAACATGAATAAGAGCATTTCAGTGCCATCCTGTAACAAGCAGTGGAGTTGAACTCAATTAAAAATGAATGCTTTACCAGCACACACCAGGCCCACATCACTGTCATGAGTGCAGTTATGTGAAGGTGATGTTGGACAGAAAGAAATCTGAAATTCGTTGCCTCTACACTGAAGCTCCTTTGACCACACCTGACCCTCCCCTCTGCCAAAAGCAGCTGCTCCCAGCACCTCCACAGGAAGCCCACAGCCCAACTCTCGACACACAACCTCTGCATCCTGCTGGTCAAAGTCAGCATCACCCGCTGTGGACCAGGTCTCTCCATGAAGCACCTCCACTCTCCCAGAGCACAGATGGAAACTATCAGTAAGTCTGGACTTTCTGTGACCTGTGGAATTGGAAGGACATTAACACACACATGTTCTGGTCCTCTTACCTGAGAGAGGCTCCTCATCCACATCCTCACATCCTGAATGTTGTTCTTCAGAGAGGATACTTCCTGTTAGAGGAGAGCAGAACAGACATCAAACACATTCAGAATACAGAACCACCCACAATCCTCTGAGTGCTGTGGATCATTGTAAACTGGGTTGGTTACAGGAAATAATATCAGTGCAGACAGTAGAGGGCGTTCTCAGATACCACACTCAACACATACTCAATCACTGACACACTATGTCACTCAGTCTCTGGTCACTCACTCGGTCAATTAATCACTCACTCGTTCACTTTCTCTGTCACTTGCTCACTTACTCATTCTGTCGCTTGGTAACTCATTCGGTCATGAAGTCACGTATTCACTCCCTTGGTCACTCATTTACTTGGTCATTAATTGAGTCATTCATTACCCAATATATTCTGTCACACCTGCAGCTGTGTGGTTTCTCTGTATGTCCAAAAATGGTTTTACAGGAATTACTCAGTTTAACTTCAGCAGAATTAACACACTAAACTACATGTAGATCTACTCTAACTGCATGTTTCATCTAATATACACTAAACTCTCATTTAACTTTTACATTTTTAAATTAAATTTAATTCATTTCTGTTACACTGTTGAATCATTATAAAATAACATTATACCTTCAAGAACATTAAATATTGCTTTGATCACTGAGAGTGAACAGGTACAGCTGTGTGTCTCCTGTTATGTTTAATGTAAATATACTTTAATATAATAACCTTCACGTAGAACAGTCATATATCACTCACCTCTTTGAGTTGAGTCATTTGTTTTAGTGACGTATCTGCGGTCGATCTCCTCATAGACTGCCTCAGTCAGAGTCTTACGCCTCCTCTTAGAGAGCACTGTGAGGGAGACAGAGAGAAACATGGAGCCAGTTCAGTAGAAGAGAAGACTGATGACAGACTGAAGGACTAATGATGTTTAGAGAATGTACAGAAAGTGGATTGTAGATGATCTCTGAATCTCTCTACCTCTCCTGAGCACTCTGTTCTGGTAAAACAGCACAACCAGAAGCACTAAGGCCAGGAAGAGCACCGCTCCCAGAACCAGGAGAGGCACTGGATAGATGGACGGAACTGCAGCTGGAACAGTTTCTAGAGGAATGCTCTTTACTGACTCACCAACTGAAAATAAAAATATAGCATAGAAAATGTCTAGATCACTGAACAATCTATTTAGAAACAATTAAAAAATGACCAAAAAATAGCTGTGAAAAAAAAGTACCTGTGGTGATGGAGGTGGTGGTTTTTGTTGTGGGTGTAGTAGTAGAAGGTACAGATATGTCTGTAAATACGGAAACAGAACATAAAAATAAGCAACCAACAAAGCACAAAACCTAAATACTGACCAAAATTGGAGCTCAGTAGCCTGATTTTAATGTTACAGGTAAAGAAGTGCAAATGCCAAAGTAGCTTTAGACAACATTAGCAAATTCACTTTTAACGCAGGCCTGGAGATTATTAACACTGGGATAAAACTGATTCCTTTGGAATCAGAAACTCCAAAATCCAGAAGCTCCTCTGACCTGCACAGGTGACTCCAGCATCCTGACTGTGAGAGCAGTCAGTGTGGTTCTTCAGGGAATGAGGACAGTCCCACAGGTGAATCTCATGCCCTCTACACTTTACTCTGTTCAGCCAAATAGACCCTTCACCAGCACCAAAGACAGCACTCCCATCAGCACTCAGCGCCGGCCCACAACCCAGCTGCCTGCAGACCACCTGAGCATCCCTGATGTCCCACAGTTCAGCACAGACGGAGCCCCATATTTTATTATGATACACCTCCAGCCTCCCAGAGCAGATTCCATTTCCTCCCATCAGCCTGAGAGGCAGGCGATCTACATAACACACATCACACATGAGGAGACACAGAAACACTGACAAACAAGACTCATCACAGAATTAATGACAGTAGAGCTTTAAATTACAACATAGTTTTTCAGTCTTTGTAAATGTACTGATTAAAAGGTCATGAATGTTTGAATGAAGAAGCAAAATGATGTTTGTAACATGAGTGTGATTAATGTTCTGCTCTAGTTAATGAAATATCATCCATATAAGTTTGCAGTTCTTACTTGAGCACTGTCTGTGATGAGGAGATGAAGAACATTTCAGGTGGCTTCGTAACACACAATCATTTTTCTCTTCTGTGAGTATATTAAGATAATTCATTAATCATTGAGCTGTTACACAAAGATTTTGCTTAAAGATTTATTTCTCTTGAACATTTAGCTCTGTTGATTGATTTGGTCTGGTGGCAAAATACCAAAAAAACTTTTTGACATTCTATTCATGTCATCCTACAAAACTACTATAAACTCCCTACCTAAGCAGGTAATTTGAGCCACCTCACTGTTTTTATCACAGTAGTTCTGTCTCCAGGGTGAAGATGGACAATGCCACAGAGTGGAGTCATGACTCCTACATTTCAGATTGTCCAGCCAGTTAGGAGCTGATTCCACTCTTGCTTTGGTAGCCCTGTCACTGCCAGATCTTCCACAGTTCAGCTCCTGACAGATGAGACTTATTGTTTCTTCATCCATCCCATTTACACACACATTACCCCAGGTTCCATTGTAGAACACTTCCAGATTCCTCTCACAGCCCTTAGTGAGTCTGATCTCTTTAAACTCTGGTGGGAGAAAGATCAAATTAAGTCTAATTCCCAACCCCCAGTTTTTAAAGAACATTTTTGGTATAGTAAGGAATTCTTCATTTATTAATTCATCCAGTATCTAGAATTCTTTGAGAAAGTTCATTAAAACCTGCAGCTTCTGGAAACAATAATTTCACTTTACCTGAACACACGACTCCTACATCCTCCTTGTGTCCACATTCATCCTCTCCACACTGCTGAAATCTGCAGTTCCACATGGACGTCTCGTTCCCCTCACACTCCACCTCATTCAGCCATATGGGTCCAGTTGCAGGTCCAAACCAGGCTGGTACCGGAGCACTGAGGGCCACTCCACACTGCAGCTGTCTGCAGACCACCTGCACATCCTTAATATCCCACAAGTCATCACACACTGTCCCCCATGATCCTCTGTGGAAAACCTCCAGCCTTCCTGCACAGCCTCCCCCAGAACCAACCAGCCTGATGGAGCTGTGAGCTGGATTAAACTTACCTACACACACACACACACACACACACACACACACACACACACACATTTCTGAGTGAGTGTGGAGAGGCTGCCCTGATATCATGGCAATGTGATGAAAACATTTAAACAGAAAAGAATTCTGTGAAATCAGGTTATTGTTAGTAAGATTTACAAAATATAGAGATTAATGAATAATTAATTGCCTACATGACATTATATACAAATGACCATGTTTGCAGTATGTATATATTATTATTAATTCTACTTCAGGGATTATTTTTATAGGAATGATCAATGCAAATCCTTATTATGTTGTACTATAAGTTCAGCAAAATTTCATTACTTTTTGAATAACTCATATTAAATGTGCTTGGTAATATTACATGAGATATTAATATTTCATTGCACTATAATACATGGACCAATCTACTGAATTAACTGCAGTCCCACAGTAAAAAGACTGTTTAAAAAACAATTAAGTATTCAGACAATACATAATAACAAGTATTATGCTTTGATCTATCCAAACCCAATGCAGTATTAGAGATGATAATCCGCTAATTATATACAAAATCTACACAAATTTATGGGGTACTTTCTATTGGGAAGTGTCTGTCCTAAACTCTAATCCTTATGTTTACACTTGTAGAGATGATACTTTCAAAAATAAATTTTACTGATTTCCTTTTAAGGGAAGTTAAGATATTTAGATCTATCATGAGTTAAATTTTTTAAAGGAAAAAAGCTTTTTTCCAAAAATACGAAAGAATATTCACTACCAAAACAAAAAGAGCTCTAGTCCGTAGGCGGAGCCTTAATTTAGCCACACTCCTGCATTTTAGAGCAGGAAGTGAGGCTGCATCCCTGTCCCTCATGATCACATGGTGAACATTTAGGTCTCATTGTTTTGAAGTGTCCCGAAGTCTGAAAATCATTAAATAATCTTAAAAATGGTCACTACCAAAAGACATATTTTCTACAATTAAATAAACTTTTATGTGTTTTAGTGAGAAATGTTGGATTTTATGTGTTTACAACGGTTCAAAGCTGTGTTTGCTTTTCATGTGCTGGCTAGCATTTTTAAATCCTGCTCAAAATTAGCTAAACTTGTCACTGTCAAAACAGTCACTACTAGAATGTTTGGTAAACAGATGAGCTTCACTCCCAGAACAATTGAAACCCGTCACACACATGTAACTGTGATCAGGACTGGATGTAGAGGAGCTGGAGAAGCTGATCACAGAGCCACAGCCCAGCTGTCTGCAGACCACAGAGGCCTCAGACTCACTACAGGAGTCCAGCAGAACTCTCCTCCAGTCCTGCATGAAGTAAACCTCCACCTCTCCCTCACACTCCATCCCTCCAGACAACCGCACTCGCCCCTCATGAAATGCCAGAGAGGAACCTGGAGAGGAATAACACAATAACGTACATATTTTCTTTTTGACTAAAGATGCGACAGACCTAGTCAAACATTTTTTTTAGAATGGCAGAGTTTTTGTGAAATACATTAGGAGCCACTCACCACTGCAGATGACTCCAGCATCCTGTTCATGAGAGCATGCAGCTCGATTCCATGATGAAATGGGACATTTTGACAGGTGTGTTTCGTTCCCCTGACAATCAAACACATCAGCCCAGATCTGGCCACTCCCCTCCCCAAACCAGTCTGACCCCAACACAGCCACAGCACTCCCACACTTCAGCTGACCACAGAGGACACTGGCAGCTCTCATATTCCAGCTTATATCACACACTGTGCCCCACTCACTGAGGTACTGGAGCTCCACTCGACCAGAACAGTTAGAAGAGTCAGAGCTGCTCACCAGCCGAGCCTGAGTGTGACCTGAACACAGAGCTGAGAGTTTAATGACGTACAGCAACTTGCCAGCTTGAGGATGAACGAATACTTACTGCTCATATAATTTCACACATACTGAATTGCAGTCTTAATTAATTAACAGATTAATTACTGGTACTTAACCAGTAAATGTCAGTCCCACGTCGTTGTCATGGGTGCAGATGTTTTTGCTTGCATTTTTTGTACAGGAGTAAATCTCAGATTCATTCCCTCGACACTGAAGCTCCTCTGACCACACCTGACCCTCCCCTCTGCCAAAAGCAGCTGCTCCCAGCACCTCCACAGGAAGCCCACAGCCCAGCTCTCGACACACAACCTGCGCATCCTTCTGGTCAAAGTCAGCATCACACACTGTGGCCCATTCATTCCTTTTAGGTATTTCTAGTCTTCCAGAACATTCATGAGGACCATCAGTAAATCTGGGTTTGTCACCTGTTTATTTGAATTTTAGAAACATCATGAATATCAAATTAAACTATTAACAGTTCATGTTTTTGTGAGAAAATATTTTACATGTAAGAGTGTTTTGATATTAACATTTTAAGTCATTTTACAGATTTTTAGGAATAATGAGCACTACATCAAAACAACCAACCACGATGTGGTCTCTTATTGTGACATATCATCAAGTAATCATTAAGTAAATCATTAAGTAAATCAGGGTTGGGTCGTGACGGAATACATTTAACGTCGTTACGTAATCAGGATACAAAAAGGAAACTAATCCGTTAAAAAGACAGTAATCAGATTACAGGTACATAAAAACAGAGTGATTACCAGCAGGATTACATTCAAAGCAAACTCATCGTCTTTCACCGAAATTCATTATTTTAATGATGAATATGTCACATAAGTCATGTAGATTTAAAGAGTTTTTAATTTGGGGGAAGTGGGGGGGTCCCACTGCCAGGAGAGAGTTCTGAAGAATCCCCCCTCACAGCAGCAGTTTACAGTTTTTCGTTCAGCCAATTTTTGAAGTTATTATTAAGCAGGGAGCACAGGTAACAACCTAACACGGGGCTCAATTTAACACTGACTCTTTATATTGTTATATGAGGTCAAGCAGCACGTGCTTCTGGCCACATTAACACATTAACATATAACTCACAGCGATTTGCCAGTGTTTTAAAGAGATCTGTGCCAAACAGTGTTTTCAGGGTATGTAAGTAATTTTTTCAACACAAGTTTTTTTCGGTTGCTGAGCTGTTTGGGTAAATCACAAAGTCTAACCTCATATTACTTTAATCGCCATCTTGTTGCCAACAATATAGCGCCATTATGAAGCATTAGATTAGCTCACAGCAAGTGCTGGATAGGTTTAAGTACAGCCCCCATACTGCGGGGTTAGTTGTTACACAGTGTTACAACTAAGCCACCTTTAGTAAACAAAGAGAAATGAAGTGATTTTTGTCCATTCCATATGTTTACAAGGACTTTAAGATGAAAAAGAGAAATCATCTAAAAACAGAGATTTTCTTCTACTTTATAAGTCTTTCAGATGTCAGTATTTTGGTTTTAAATAAGGATATTAATAAAATTGGCATTAACAACTGGTAAAGCTGTATTTATTCAGAAACAATGTTCCATATTTTACTGATGTGTGATGTTTGTATTTGCTGTTCTGCACTGGACAAAAAATACATTTGTCATTGACACATAGTGTCATGTCAGTTTTCATATGTAATTTGATGTGAGTGTATCTATCGATTGAGCTGTCTGTCTGTCTGTCTTATAGGGAGATAATGTATAATGTAGGGAGATAATGTATAATGTAGTTTGGTTGGAAAATATATTTGTTTCTTACAACATAGAATTATATTGAAGTAACTTTGTTTGCACTAATTCATCAGACTTTTCTAGCAACTGACCCTCTGTCTGTTACAGTTAACCCACTCATGGTATAAACTGTAACATTGTGCTTCCTGTCATTTTTGGTGGAATTGTACATGAATGGTAGGCGCTATAAAGTTTGTCTGTAGCAGAGATGTATGTGTCACTATTGTTAAAATTATTTAACAGAAAACGAAATGTGGTAGGTTGTGCTCCGCTCTCCTCCTGTGTTATATTCATTGGTAGGGCTGAGATCTGCAGTGTTTTCCTGAAGATAATCTGACGAGTTTACTCTGGATTTCCACACCTCCAGATTCTACAGTATCTGACTGATCTGATCTGATCTTACATTAAATTCTTTATTCTTGTTTGTTGCTGTTATTTCTTTTTGTTTTGCTGTATTTTTATCTTTATTAAATTAAACATCTTTTATTAAAGAGAAGTAATCCAAAAGTAACAAAGGGTAATCAAATTATTTTAAAATATAAATCCTTTGGATTAGGATACACTTACATTTTTAACAGGTAATCAGTAATCTGATAACAGAATACATTTTTAAAGTAACCCTGCCAACCCTGAAGTAAACTAGTAATCTCACATAGAGTGCTGAATATTAAAATCATATTAATATAAAACACAACTTACCTGAACAGATGACTCCAGCACCTTCTGTACCACAACCATACAAAACATCAATACAGTTCTTCAGTGAAGACTCTGATCCACTACAGTCTGCCTTCATCCCACTAAATCCTGATTCTGATCTAAAACTAACTGATGCGTAGAGCGTTCATACAGCCCAGCTCTCTACACACCACTGCAGCATCAGTCATATCCCACCCATACATACACACTCTATTTCCACTGTCCATCATCATTAACCTCCACTCTCCCAGCACAGCGACTCTCACCACCCACCAACCTCACACTGTCTGTACAACAGGGAGAGAGAGAGAGAGAGAGAGAGAGAGAGAGAGAGAGAGGGAAAGAGAGAGAGAGGGAGAGAGGGAAAGACAGAGAGAGAAAGAGAGATTAAATGAGAATGATAAGTTAATGATCATAAAAATTATTTTGAAATCCTTGTAACTTTTTTGTAACACTTTAATACAGAGTGAATGAGCCACTCACTGAAACAGGACTTACAGTGAAATGATTGGTTTTAATATGATATGATAATTTTAAAAATGGTTGTATGATTTATGATCCAATTACAACAAAAAATTACAACATATTAAACAAAACATTCTGCTAAAAACATGCTGTTCTTTTCATTCCAGGTAAGTGAATTTATTTATATATTAAACTGATAAAGTGTGTCCTTACCAGCTGCGGTGAGTGTGATTGTGGAGGACAGAAGAATGAGAGCCACACAGCTGTCCATCTCCCTCTGACCTGCACACAGTCTGTTCAACTCAGCAGCAGAACAAGCTTCACCTTCACTCCCCCAGAGAGACTGAAGAAACTGATAGAGAGAGAGAGAGAGAGAGAGGCTCCCCACAGCCGCCAATCACACTCACTATGACCTTATTAGAAAGAGGAGAGGAAATCATCAAACATTTTCAGTGACAAATCAGAGGAGCCATTTTTTTCTTTCTCCATATTTATCAAAAGAGCGTCAGCACTGATGAACAGAACTCCACCTCCGTCTCTAGAGGTGTGTGTGTGAGGAGAGACGCTCGCAGCAGTGTGGTGAGAAACACACCAACATACAGGAGACTGACTTCAGAGAGAGGAAACACTCCAGCGTAATACAGCATTAATGCTGCACCTGCAGAGAGCTGATCCACACACTGATAACCATCTCACACACACACACACACACACACACACACACACACAAACACACAAATAAACATCACACACACACACACAGACACACACACAAACACACACAAATAAACATCACACACACACACACACACACACACACACACACACACACACACACACAAACACACACAAATAAACATCGCACACACACACACACACACACATACATGTACTACACTAATAAACTACACACATTCTCTCTCTCTCTCTCTCTCTCTCTCTCTCTCTCTCTCTCTCTCTCTCTCACACACAATAATAAACTACTCATACACTCACACACTGATAAACAACTTATGAACACTGATCATTCAAACATATTGATAAATAACGCACACACACACACACTACACACACACACTACTCTGCGTTAAAATACAGATGAAAAGAAATATTAATTTATCACTCAGAACAGTTTACAATAAACAAATGCAATCATTCAATCATTGGTTTTATTTTACAGATTTGAATTAAGGAATGTGCTGCATTTCAATGATTTTGCAAATTTAGAAAGCACAATATAACAAAATCATGATCATAAGTGAAAAATAAAGAATATAATATAATTTAGTATATATAATGTATTTTTCATCACAATTCAATACACTTTTATCACAATCCTTTAGTTTATCATTTGTACACACATAATTACAGTTTAGCTCTTAGAGAAACATTGTTTTAAGACAGTGTAATACATTTTATTGTCCACAAGGTGGCAGCAGAGGATTAATAATCAGTCAATGTAGTAAAAAAAGAGATTAAAGCTGTGAAGTGCATTTTCACTTAACTGATCAGCTGAGGTCACTGCTGGTGTCCTAATATGACTTCAGTGCTCTCCCATAAATCAATAAATAAATAAATAAATAAATAAATCCACTTTTATTTCATCTTCACTTCAGTTTCACCATCAAGTACCTGCAACTCTATCTACATTAATGCTCTATAGATGTAATGGCACAGGACTACAAAAATAAATGTACAAGAATTTATGATGTAGAAATAACCAAAAAAAAAGTTCAAAATGAAATTCTGTAACAAATCAGGAATAACAGACCAAGCAGGGAAAGCAGCATGACTTAATATACATTTTGATTACAATGAAAAGCATAATGTGGTCTTTTCACCCTAACAACGAAGAGAGATGTATTCATGTTGCTGAAGCCAAAGAGGGAAAGCTGGTGCACAGCAGTGTCACTGTAAAACAGATAACAGAGCACGAGGCCAGTGTCTGTGTAATGCTGGAAAAAGCTCCTCAGGCTTTTAGGACAGATTACTCTATTGTCTGTCAGTCGTCTGTCGTCTGTGGGAACAAGGCAATGAAATTCTCC